GCCATCCGTCTCGTTGTGTTATCGAAAATACAACAACCACAAGGAAACGATAACACTAACGCTTGAAGTTATTGTGCGTTGCGCTTCGGAGTTAAACCTATTTTAACTTTTAGCGTGCGTTGACGCAATAACAAAAAAAAAACGCTCAACGCCACCATTCTGCTTAGCCCTTTAAATATATTTTAAATCTTTGCGTGGGTTAATGCGATAACAAAAAACGCTCAACGCAAACATTTTTTTAACATTCTGATTAGCTCTTTATGCCATGTACAGACGAGCGGAATTTATCAAAAATAAATTAATTTTGACAGCATGAAAATATTTTTAAAATTTTCACACATTTGCATTAAAATGATGAATGAAAAGTAAAAAATTATCTAGTTTTTATATATGCAGAATGATGTAAATTTTGTAATCTACATAATGCAATATGCATTTCTTTCCCTTTAGTTATAATTAGCGTACAAAACGAGAAACAAATGTGGGGAACCCCAAACAAAAATTCACCAATTTTTTATATGTGACATTTGTAATGAGGAAATATAAAAATATATTAAAAACAACAATTGGTCTGTTCCCGTACTGATTCTTGCAGTACGGAAACAGACCAAATATTTTCAGAAAAAGTAGAAAAGTAAATATACAGTGTCGAGCAGAAACGAGTACATGTTTGCATTTTGGACACTTTTTACGTCATAAAATATAACTAAAAAAGCTATTTCAAAAATGTTGGTTGCATTTTATTGAGTATTTTGTACTTAACAAAACAACCTAAATTTAAAAATCTAACTCTTAAAAAAATAACTAAGAAAAAATAAAGAAATCGAAATCAACCCCAATGTACTCACTTTTGCACGTCTGCATTTTTTTAATAATGTGCAGAAAAGGAATGTAAAATCACGTTTTTTTAATCTTTTTTTGATTTTCGTTAGATTTTTTAAGAAAATGTATAAGTTTTACATCATTTAAGTCCCGTTTACTAAAAAATTTTACAAAGTTTTGAACAAAAATCAAATAAATAACTAATAATAATTCAATAAGAAATATATATAATAATATAACAACCACTGAAGAGGACATTCGGAAAAATCTGTTCTACCCTGGAAATTGCAAAGGGACTTAATTTGTGTCAATTATTGGTCCTATGGGTACAAAAACGGTGTTCCGTTGTTCCCAAACCTCAAATTAGAGGTCGTACACTGCTTATAAGATGTGTGGACCCACGTCTAATGATAAGGGAAATGTAATTTGATAAGTTTTAACACCAAAATATGCTTCGTAAGTACTCGTCAAACCTGTTAGTCATTGAAGGGCGTGAAGAGCCCTTCCCGACATTGGATATAGCAGTAAAAAAGACTAAAAACCTGTATTATAGGAAAAAAACTGCAAAATAAGGGTAAAGACTTTTCAACTAGACCAAAAGTTGAACTGTGGTCGACTGGAAACGTGTGATTGGGTCCGACGAATCCAAATTCAACCGTTTTCTGTCCGAGGATAAGCATTATTGGTGATGAAAACTAATTCAAAGGCCTAATGTGAAGCACGGTTGAGGAATTGCCATGGTATGCGTAGGCTTTAACTTGTGGGTCCTGGACCGATGTTAAAAAAATTGACAATATAATAATGAAAGAAGTCCATTTCGATCATTGTAGAGTCATATCAGTCAGTTCAGGTAGCTAAGTACGCCTATTCTGTAGAAGAAGTTATTATATGCAGGGCGGTGATCAAAGATATACGTCAAAATTCGTGAGAGAATATCTTCATGAGCAAAATTTTGAATTAACACAGTGGTCAGCACAAAGTTTCGACATCAATTCGAACGATAATTTGGGGCCAATCGCAAAGAGGGAGGTGGGACAGTACCAATCAGGCCCTAATAAATTAGACGAACTTTGGTAGTGGATCTGATGTGATTGGAAGAATAATTCCAATGAAATTGTACTAAAATTGGTTGAAAATATGTCAAATAGCATAAATGATACATTAAAAATATAAAACTACGGTATAATTAATAAAAATATTCAAATTCTGCAAATTTGTTCAAAAGTGCAAAAGTGAGTACATTGGAGTTGATTTACTTTTCTCTGTTTTTTTCTTAGAAATTAAAGAGTTAAATTCTTTAACTTTAGGTTGATTTGTTAGGTACGAAATACGTTATAAAATACAACCAAATTTTTGTAATTTGCTTTTATATTTTTATTTTTATGACGTAAAAAGTGTCCAATGTACAAGCATGGACTCATTTCTACTCGTCACTGTATATGGGTTCATACTATAGTCAGGAGAAAGAGAATATTTTTCTATTTAGATCCATATTTTACAATTTTGGTGTAAAACAAGAAACAAAAAGTTCGAAATAAAAAACTCTGATGATATGAATTAATAGTACGTTTACATTGTACCGGATTTCGTTAACCCCGTGGGTTTCAATTGTCAATTCTATTGTATACATGTCAAATAAATCCTCATGAAGTAAGTTAACCTCGAAAAAAGTTCTAATGTAAATGCCGTTTAAGAATAGTGAGCATGAACGGGTTAATTCATGTACGTAATTCTGAGAGCGAACTACGTTGTTCGAATGCCCGTCTGAACATGGCATTATTGTGTTTATTTGATGTTTTTCAAGACACAACTAAAAACGCGAAAAATTAATGAAAAATAATTTTTTTTGAGTAGGGAAATCCTAATTTCTTCCGGACAAATGCTTTTTCCCTTTTCATTTCACGGCATAATTATACAAGGAAGTCTCATACAGTCATGTGTTTCCAAATTTTACTTTTGACAACATTAAGTTTTTAAAATTGAAATGAATAAAACTTCCTTCGAAATGTACGCACATCTTTTGTTCATTGACAAACATTTCTAGATTATCTGCCTCCAAATCCTATAGATAATATAAGTTGTAACGCTCATATTCGCATCTTGAGAACAATGTACCGCTGAAGAAAATATTAATTTTTAATTTGTTGAAAATATGTCAATCCAAATTTGTGCAATTTATATTTTGCAATAACAAAAGGTACGCTACTTGACGAATTAATAAAAATTGTAGTCTAGTGTAATTTCTTATTATGTCATATTTACATGTAAACATATTCAACGGGTTGTTTTGTTTATTTGAGATATTTTTATAACTTTATTAAATGAAGGAAATGTCGCGAAAAATGAATGGAATATCAATATTTTTTTCCTGAATTCTATATTGTTGAATTTTAATTACAAATGAATTTAGAAATATTTTAGATTTGTTTGATTTTTTCAAGGCATGAGTTGAGTTATTGTTTTGACAGAACAGGGGCACACCAAAGAAAAAATTGTAATAAGACGGTACCATTAACCTACTTCTTGTTATTACCATGGGTTGTCATATCGTTTTAACAGATGCAATTTTTCGCGTGGGCACACGACATCGGCATGTTTAAAAAAATAAGTAAAATGTTTGACGTTGCAATGCATATGTCAACATTGCAACATTATGATACTTTTGTCACCCTGTTCTTATGTTATCGATAACTTGTCAGGCGATAACGAAACAAATTGTTCGTTGTACTATTTTAGGAAGTAGATGGCGCTTGTTCATATTTTGCAAACTTTTTAGTTAAAAATCGTTCCAGTACCCGCAACAAAAATGGTAACGTGGAATGCCAACTTCTGTTTGACTGTTGTGTTAATATTGAAGGATTGTCTAATTTTGAAATTTTTAGCAACGTTTTTTTTTGTTCCAGAACTTTTTGTATTATTTTCTAAAATAAGTACTGGAACAGAACATATAAAAAATTGGGTGTTTTTCTGCCAACTTAACATGGCATGCCATCTGTTATCTATCAAATTAACTTCAAAGATGTTTGTTTGCCGACAGAAAAATGAAAGAAAATTTAACAAAAATAATATATTGGTCGGTTCCCGTACTGCAACTATCCACTACTTTTTACTACGTTAACGAATTTTAATTTATGGTATGGAAGAAAATAGACCAATAGTTATACCATGCATTACGGGACAGACCAATCATCATATTGATTATTTTTTATTAGTAAACGGGAACACAGCATTCACATTAAATGTTGCCCTTTTCAATGTCACCCTGTAGTTTCGATAAAACAGTTATTGTTTTCGCACAGGTTACCTCTATTATCCAACTAGAATCGATTTACCCATCCCTATACCATTGGCCATCGCAATTTGCCTTGTTGTTGGGTTGTCGAAGAGATAAATTTACAACAATACCGTGAGCGCCGCCACAACAAACAATTTTTAATTGACAAGTTTGAAAATTTGCATGTTTTTGTGATATTCAGTAGTTCTGTGTTATTTACAAGCTTTTTTTAAATTCTATAACTTTCCTGTCCACTCACATTGAAATAACGAGACGAAGATATCGGGCAAAAGAAACAAAAATTCATTGCGCCGAACAGAAAAGTTTTTAGTTTTATTATACAAACACAAACAACAAACAAACGCAACGCAAAGAAACAACAGACGGTGGTAACTTGGCCAAAAAGAAATAGACAAGAGTGGTAGTGGTGAAGTGGAGGAATGTACATGCAACAAAAAAGAAGAGAAAAGGCAATAAAATAAATAAAATCAAAATTTGAAGGTGCGCATTTCTTTGGCAGTGAACAGAATTTGCAAGTAGCGTAAGGAACGTAAACATAAGACTGAATTTCGGTGCGTTGTGACTGATATATTGAAAAAAAGAACCCGAATTTGAATGAAAAATTTTTTACAATTTTGAACAAATAAATATCGACAGACAATCCGGAAGCGAGTTACAATAGACTGCCTGTCTTCCGGTCGGTGACATCGAAAAAAGTAAATTAAAAATCAACATAGACTGTATTGTATACGCATTCCCCCCAAATTAACGGCACGGCACAAAAGAAACCAACTCATACATTCTAATCGGAATCCCAATTGGAATACAAACTACAAGAAGAATAAAAAGAACCAATTGGAAAATATATCACAGAACTGAATTGGAAGAGTGAATAGCATCTTTAATGCTTTCATACGTTATACCTGCTCCCCAGGAAACATCGGCTGCAAATGGCCGTTCGTCGAACCGAACTGAAGGAGATGCCGAGAATGGTGGTGGTAGTATAACTAACAGGGAACCAGTGCCTTCTCCACCTCGAACTAGCCTAAGTCTTAGACTCAACTCTCAATACATGGCCGGAACAGAGTCCCACACAACAGAGGTGGATGCCCTGCTGGCGAATGTGAATGTGGCATCTGGCCATGAGTTCTGTGACGACGAACGCACCCATTTATTGAACGACACAAACCACACATCATCTCCGGTACGGGTGAAGCGTCAGAACAGCAATGGCAGCAACAATAACAACTCTTTCAGCTTGAACAACAATGCCACAAACACAAACACCAGCAGCGATACCAACGTCACCACTAACAATAGAAGAAGTAGTGGCGATGGTGGTGGAGGCGGTGGAGGACATGGCTCGGATGACAACTGTGGCAATGATGTTGTCAATGTTAATAATGTTTGCAGCTCCATCGAGAGAACATCTTTGGATGATGGTTCCGATTCCCACCACACCGCTGTCACCAATGCCACTGACAAACCGGCTGCACAGCCAGATGAGTCCCAGAATCCCCGCCAACAATCAGTGACAACCAAGAAGCCCAAACTTAGCAAATTGGGTTCGAACAAAACAGTCGGACTAAAAAGGTAAGAACAAGAACAAGCACAAGTAATTCTATTTTCTATCCATTTATTTCGACGTCGACATCGACATCTTGTCATTGGAATGACGAATATATGACGGATGATGGGATGGGATGGGATGGAATGGGTGATATGATGAATGCAATCGTCCAACCAAGCAACCAGCCACCCGACCGACTGAACATCCAACAGCGATTGACATATTACAATGTATAGCAATGAAATGTGTACTGTGTGTGTAGGCAAGAGAATTGTTGTACATTTTTGACCTACTTAGAATTATACAATGACGACAAATGACAACAAAAACAGCAACAACAATAACCACACATCATCATACCCACTGACATGCAATGCATTTACGTAGCCATTTGGGTGTAAATTTCTTTCTTTTGGGATTTACAGTGTGTGTATGGGTGTGAGTGTGTGCGTGCTAGAGACAACTACGACTTTCTTGACCTTGTCGTGGGGTTTCCATGGCCATAAAAGTAGGAAGTCGTATTTTCCTATTTAATCCTTTTTGAAACTTTTGCAATCAACTATCATTTGCGCTACACCAAATTAAAGCTGTATGTAATCGAATTGAACTGTGTAACGAGATCCATCTGTTCGTATAATTTCATTTCATTACATCCGCTTCAATGGCTGATTGGAAAGATTCGTGATTGGTAAGAAAATCTCTTCGTCGTTCCACTCCATATACAATGAATATGAATATTATTCAGTATTTTCTTTTGCATCGTTGTACTTTCTCTTTGCCGAGGGGTCGCCCTCTTTCGAAGCCCAAAATGTGCTTGATTTGAAATTTCAAAGGGATTTCATTTATCGTCATCTTGTCTTCTTCGGTGCATTAAATGTCACAGTCATGGAAGTGCAGTGAAACGAATCGTGTCGCTAAGACTTTCCCATGGAAACATTAACGCAGAACAAATATTTTTTGTAATTGTTGTTGTTCTTGTTTTTTAACCCACTGCTGTATTGGATTTATCAATTAGTGACGGTGGATAGATGTTTTTTGTTTTGTTTTAGCAAAATAGTGAAATTCACCTGAGGTCAACATCTTCAAAATTGTTGTTAAATCGAAAAATGTAGGTGTCCAACTGAAATATATCCCTTGCAAATTGTCTGAAAATCTTCACTTCTCCGAAGTTAAGATTCGTATTATCGGATGAGGAAGGGGAGACTGGGGATCATTCGTCGCTTTTTTTAGTCCTATGATATATAAAAAAACGTACCAAAAACAAAATAATAAATTAGTATTAGTTAAAAATGTTTATAGTTTTGTACCCGTGGTAGCTTCGGCATTTTATGGGGCACATTCGGCACCCATAGTCATAGCCTGGTAATTATTATTGCTAGTCTGATTGGAATTCGGATCCTCTAAAGGTTCTATTTTAATGTTTGACTTTTAGGGTTATATTTTTTAGCGGCGGATGTTGACGTCTCAAGGGTACAAACTATCAGATTTAGCTCTTTTCTATCGTATTTTCGTCGATAGAAGCACTTTGATTACGAATCATATTAGAGGAATACCTTTAAAAACACATGGGCTATGAAACTAAAAAGTGAAAATATAAAATGATGTGCCTAAACACTTTGAGGGTTGTATTTCCGTCGATAGAAGCACTTTGATTACGAATCATATTAGAGGATTACCTTTTAAAACAAATGGGCTATGAAACTAAGAAGTGAAAATATAAAATGATGTGCCTAAACACTTTGAGGGTTGTACCAGAAGGAGTGGACCGATAGGCTACATCTTCGCATTTGATACAGATTTGATAAAAATATTATTTTGTGCTAAAATTGGGCCAAATCGGATACTCTATTAGCTTTGTATGATATTTATGATGGCACTAAAAAGAGTGGATCTATAAATCTATTTACGGATTCAATTAAGAATTGTAAAACGTATTAGGTTGTGAAGAGTTTTTAACAAATCGAATACTCCGCATTAAAAGATATTTTAAAAATTTCAAAATGTTGACACTTTGCGAGGGAGGCAGCAGAAGAAGCGAACCATCTTCGAACATGATGCAGGTTTAGTAAAAATAATAAGTTGTGTAAAGTTTGAATGATAGCAGATAATCCGTTCGCTGAGACTATAAAATTATTTCTCAATAACATTTTGAACATTTGGGGGGGAGGTATCAGAAGGAGAGGTCTGATATTCTTTATTTTAGAACATAATTTATGTTTCTTCGCTGAGACTATAAATTTATTTCTCAATAACATTTTGAACATTTGGGGAACATTTCCGATACATCCGGAGAAGAGGTCCGATATTCTCTATTTTCGAACATGATTTATATTTGAAAGAAACGATGTGCAAAGTTGGGTTAAATCTGTAACTCCTTTTGGGAGTTATTGTGCCCAACACCCAACCAGACAAGCATTTATCAGACAGATACATATTTTAGCTTTATGGCTTGGGTAAAAAAAGTTTTCTATGAGTTGTCTGATAATGCAAATTTTATTTAAATTGAATTCGAATTTGTATTTTTCGCAAAGACATATATTTTTTGGTATGAATCAAACTGGCTCACTTCTGTAAAAGTAGGTACACTATTAACATCCGTAAATCTAGTGTTGAGCTGACGAACCCTATGGAATTGTTGAGAATAGGTTTAGATTTAAATATAGCTTCCAATATGTTTTCATTGGTTTTCATGCGAAGGAAAGATGCAACGTCTGTCCGATCCGAACATTAATTTTTGCACATAGTTAATTTTGAAAAAAAAAAACAGTTATAGATACAACCAGTTTCTTAAGAGCACGCCTATACAAAATATTTTAACAATTTCATATAAGAAAACCTTTGAATTAATCAAACTTTGCGCTCTCATCGCGTCATTGTTTGGCATCGTATTTTCTTGACCAACGTAAAACCTATAATAATTTCAAAATTTGATATAATTTATTTAGAAATTATTTTATATATAACTCTATTTTAATAAAGTTATAATTTAGTAAACGTTTATGCAAAAATTTCGCGTTTTCCATTAGTAGTCATCATTTTTGTTTAAACTAGAATTAAAATTGAATTCTTTCTTTTTTGCTTCGGAAATGCTCCCTAATCTGAACTTCTTCGACCAGTTGAGTTAATTTAATATTTAGTTTTGATAAAAAATTAAATTTTTTATGCATAGCTGGGTTAATAGTGCTATTTATTTCTAAGCATTTTTTGTTGTATAAATACGCTGTATTCCCGGTGCAGTATAAATGTTATTGTATATTTAAAAACTACCAATAATATTGTATATTTAATTTAATTTAATTTATTTATTCACATTAATTTCAAAGTCCGCAAGCCCCATTTAAGTAATTACCGGTCTACAAAATCTAATAATTATACTTATAATAAACAATAATGCGAAAATCCTCGACTATAAAATAAAACAAGAGGATCTTAATAATCACGATAACAATTGCGTGCCAGGAATAATACATGTACATTTCACTAACTTGACAAGCAATACTAGTAAAAGTAGTAATTATTCACAGAAACCCAAACAAAAATTTTGACTGCAACTATGATTCTACTCGAAGATTTATATTCTAGTTTTAGGATTTAGTCTAGCAACTAGAGTAGTTTAAGTCAAGTTTGTTTCTATAACATAGACGGCATTTTAGGCTTGTAATAAATTAAATTAAACCTATTAACTATTTTAGATAGCATGTCATACAGAAAACTTACAGTCGTATTTAATATCCCGACGAAATGGAGTATTAAAACAAGAGTCATTATTATCATATTACAACTGCATCCAATCAGCAGACCCAGACAAGACCTTCATTTCCCAAGAAAAGTCCTCAATTTCGACGTCGGGGTGATATCAGTTTATAGGAATTGCTTGGATTACAATGTATTTGATTTATCCTACTTTAGCCACACTATAGCTATACACATATGAATAGAGTGAAATGTTAAATTCTGGATTCGATTGTATTAACGATTTGTTTTTAATTGAATCCCTTAGAAGCAAAAATACTATTTCAAAGAATATATTAACAAGTTTTTTTTTAATAGTATGTTGAAATTCTTGAATAGTTATACATAGTTTTAAACTAAATAACAAAATGGAAACCGGGGATTACTTGGTAGATACTTGGTGTTTACAAAAAAAATCATGATTGTTTTCAGATATACATGTATAGGTAGATGGTCAGATGTTTGGCTCTGGTTGGTTATGCGTTTGACAAGACGTCTAAAATGCGTTTGTAATATAAATGCGGGGAGGGAAAAAACGAACGTTTCTGCAATTCAATTTTGGTGCTCCGTTAAACTCTTTGGCACTTGTCCAGTTTGTTGGTTTTTTTCGTTTGAATTTCCCCCTCATCTTCACTCTTGTGTTATTATTGTCGACACCATGGTTTTTTATTTTGTTATTGTATCGCTTGCGTGCGTATACCGCATTTCTTTCGCTCAATGTAATTACATTAAAAAGTTGTATAGATTTTTTTCTCCATTCTGTTTTCTTTTGTTAAACTTTTGCTTACTGCCACACAATCGTGAACACTGTGAATTTGGCAATAAATTACAATATTATCATTGATTTTGTTAATGGTGTGTCCAGTTAATTCAAAAGTGAAGCTCTTTGTCATAAACACACCTTGCAAAAGTCAATCAAGTCCTTAACTAGTTCGAAGTTTTTTTGTAAAGAATTATAGAAAAAAAGTTTGTTTGAGAAGATAATCGAAATTATTCTTTTAAATTGGAAATTCGATTTTGCAATGTTGACATAGATCCATGTTTTGGTATAGCCACCAGGATGTGTATGTATTTTAAAGGCCATGACCAAATGCCCCACAATATATTAAATTTTTGGTATTTATTATTTCAAAATAAATGCCCTTTCTCTTATTGAGTATAACAGTAAGTGTTCTGATTATTTTCCTCGCCATATGTTGTTGTAGCAGCTGTAGAAGGTCATCTGTTACCTATAGTGGAGTAAATTGTAAACTAAAAACGCATTAATAAGTGTGGTTTCTAGTTTCATTCTAGTGTTCAAAAGGGAAATATAGTTATTTTTTTTAATTTTTATGGAATTATATTATACCTATTAAAAATGTTCATTAAATACAAATTCTTTAGAATACTTTTCAAATCTTGTGACCGAACATTTTATTTAGAATCATAACTACGATATTGAACGTTTCTCTATAATGGCGATGCCCCTCGCTCACTGTTGCATCTATAATTTATTATTTGAAGACACTTTAATTTTGGCACACGAATATTGTACAAATATACAGAAATATTTGTGTGCCTATCTTTTTATTTTCAATTCGCAATTGAATGTGAATGACTGTGACTTGTCGCTGCACAAGCTTCTTCTCTCTCGTTCGGCTAAATTTTTATTTTTACCTATTTACACAATAACATATTACTTCTGATGATGATGATTGGCCCGGCAGTTTGGTTTGTCGGTTGATCGGTCTATCGGTCGGTCGTACAAACATTTCTCTAAAGTTCAAATAACTTTGTGCATGCCCAAACTAAAAACGTCTGCCAAAAATACACTCTGTTGTATTTTTGTTCTGTTGCTGTTTCTGTTTTCGTTTTCATTTGTGGATGTTTTAATGGGCATCTAATCCTTTTAACATAGCTAGCCGCTCATGCATGCCTGCAACGCTCTTTTCACAATGGGACAATTTCAAATGCATATAAATAAATGTTGTGTTATTGTAGTCAGAAATAAAACCAACATAAATCAAGGAAATAAAACAATTTATTGCAACGCCATTCTTTAATAATATTAATAATTAAAGAATGAAATGTTTTTTAGTTTTTATTTTATCAAAACCATATACCATTTTCATTACCATGTGTATGGTAATTTAGAAATATTTATTAGTCTTTATGAATTTTGATGCCAGAAATGTTATACAGTTTATATGGATTCAGAGGATTTTTTCTGCTGAAACTGCTCAAGTGTGTCCATTAGGCTTCGTGTCTTTTAAAAAACTCGATCCCTGTATCATATACACATTTAAATTGGATTTTATTTTCCCCCATTCAGGTTTGTGTTTAGTATTACTTTTGATCCAGATAATTGTGCTGTTCCAGCACAGGCTCAAAACTCTTTCTCAGATAATTTATTTTCAATTGTATTTATTCCTTAATTCTATATAATTATTTATGTCATCATTTCAGGGTGTCATTTGGTTCCTCCAAAGGCTCCATGGTTGAGACATTAGTTTTCGAAACACCAACGCCATTGTCTGAACATGTGGAGCCAAGCTTTGGATTTGGATCAGAAGGTGATTATAAAGCAAATATGGATGACAGTGGTATAGAGGTTCAAGAAGAGTAAGTATACATTATACATTTTGCCTTTTAATTTATTCATTAAATTTTAATAGTCAGGGATGGTCCGTGTGATGAATTTTTCGACTGTCAAAAAGGTGTAAACGTAGAAAACGTCATATACCTGTATAAAATGTAGTAAACGTCATTTATTTCAATATTACCACCATATATACATTTATTTTCAAGAGTATATATTATTTTTACACATATCTGACTATTCCTTACTAGAACTGATAAAAATTCTAAACTTTTTTGAGAAGAAAATTTTGAAATTTGATATGAATTCCAGTAAAGCATAAGTCATTTCGAAATTGATTAATGGAATTAGCTATTCTGTCGAAAACCTAATGGTTTTGGGTGGGTTTCCGACGTTTCGAAAATGTATGTAATTTACGTCACTGTTTGTGACGGGTCATCTCTCTTAATAGTGTTTATCAGGTGTGCTTAGTCCTTTACCTTTTCGTGTCAACAAATCATACGACTTCTCTTCTCTGAAATTGTTCAGCAAATGGGGGAGAGTATTTTGCCGCCACAATCTTAATGTTGAACCTTTAAAAATTAAATGAACAATAGAAATTTAGGAAAAAAATTATTATGAAATAGTTTAGTAATTTTTCAATACAAACGAAATACATTGTCCAATCGAACATTACAGTTTTTGGAATCATTTTTTATACATGGCAAAAAATTGAAAATGTATTATTTTAAATATCAAAAATCATTAGCAACATTCGCCTTAGAGAATTCCGTAAAATCGCCAACTAATTTAAATTTATAATTAAATTTTATGATTATTAGAAAAATATAAAAAATATAAATTCAGAATTATTTATGGCAAGTGATGCTCCTTAATAAGAAAAATGGTATTGCCATATCAGGGCAGTGCATTAGCCTTATATTGTAACTTCGCGTTTACTACAACATATTGTTTGGCTGACACTTTCGTTCACACATTCCTTGCTACAACTTGGCTCTTGTCAGCATATTTATTTTTCTTTAAATGGTGAAATTCCAACGGTTCTTGTATCTTTGAAATGAACACAGATTCATATTTTCCTAGAAGAGATGCAATACCTGAATGAATTCAATATATATATATATATATAACTACAGTAGAGCACGTTTATAAGGAAAAAACGTACTCTCTCTAACATAACATACTGTAATGTCAAAGGTTGGAAAGACATATACGTAGATTAAAAAAAAAAAAAAAATATTTTTCTAAGGCCTCACAAGGCGTGGATTTTTATATGAATATTTTTCTAAGGCCTCACAGGCGTGTTTTTTTAAAAGAATATTTTTCTAAGGTCTCACAAGGCGTGGCTTTTGAAAAGAATATTTTTCTAAGGCCTCACAAGGCGAGGATTTTTAAACGAATATTTTTCTAAGGCCTCGCAAGGCGTGGATTTTTAAAAGAATATTTTTTCAAAGGTTTCACAAGGCGTTGATTTTTAAAATAATATTTTTCTTAGGTCTCAAAAGGCGTGGATTTTTAAAATAATATTTTTCTAAGGTCTCACAAGGCGTGGATTTTTAAAATAATATTTTTCTAAGGTCTCACAAGGCGTGGATTTTTAAAATAATATTTTTCTAAGGTCTCACAAGGCGTGGATTTTTAAAATAATATTTTTCTAAGGTCTCACAAGGCGTGGATTTTTAAAATAATATTTTTCTAAGGTCTCACAAGGCGTGGATTTTTAAAATAATATTTTTCTAAGGTCTCACAAGGCGTGGATTTTTAAAATAATATTTTTCTAAGGTCTCACAAGGCGTGGATTTTTAAAATAATATTTTTCTAAGGTCTCACAAGGCGTGGATTTTTAAAATAATATTTTTCTAAGGTCTCACAAGGCGTGGATTTTTAAAATAATATTTTTCTAAGGTCTCACAAGGCGTGGATTTTTAAAATAATATTTTTCTAAGGTCTCACAAGGCGTGGATTTTTAAAATAATATTTTTCTAAGGTCTCACAAGGCGTGGATTTTTAAAATAATATTTTTCTAAGGTCTCACAAGGCGTGGATTTTTAAAATAATATTTTTCTAAGGTCTCACAAGGCGTGGATTTTTAAAATAATATTTTTCTAAGGTCTCACAAGGCGTGGATTTTTAAAATAATATTTTTCTAAGGTCTCACAAGGCGTGGATTTTTAAAATAATATTTTTCTAAGGTCTCACAAGGCGTGGATTTTTAAAATAATATTTTTCTAAGGTCTCACAAGGCGTGGATTTTTAAAATAATATTTTTCTAAGGTCTCACAAGGCGTGGATTTTTAAAATAATATTTTTCTAAGGTCTCACAAGGCGTGGATTTTTAAAATAATATTTTTCTAAGGTCTCACAAGGCGTGGATTTTTAAAATAATATTTTTCTAAGGTCTCACATGAATATTTTTCTGAGGTGTGGATTTTTAAAAGAATATTTTTCTGAGGTGTGGATTTTTAAAAGAATATTTTTCTGAGGTGTGGATTTTTAAAAGAATATTTTTCTGAGGTGTGGGTTTTTAAAAAATTATTTTTCTAGGGCCTCTTAAAGTTCGGGTTCTTAAAATAATATTTTTCTAAGACTTCGCAATGCGTGGACTTTTCTTAGGTCATACAAGGTGACAATTTTTTCTTTTTCTATAGAAAACAATTTTTGTGCAATTTTTGGTTCAAATCGGATAGACTGATAAAATAAAATTTTAGCAAATTTTCACCATTTTGTGAGGAAGGCTGATATTTCCCATCATCGAACTTGAATTACAATTTAGAAGAAATATTACGATATGCAAATGTTTGGATGAAATCCGTAACTCCTTTTGAGAGACAGATGGACATTTGTAAATCGACTCCTAATTGTCTGACACGGATTTAGTCCAAATAAAAATGGGGTCTAAACCCTATATTTCAATGAGGCACATTTTTGCCGTAGCAAAGTGTATATAGTGTTTTTGTCGGACATATACACATATACTCCCAGATTTAAAGTATTTAAACTTTTTACGAAGTTATCTATAAAATAAAGCTAAGCTAAATAGTTGTTGTTCCGCCATGAATGTTGTTTATGTTCAGATTAAACCCGAGATAAAAAAAAAACAAATGTACAAACAACCAAACATTAGAAAAAAATTAGAAATATTAATGTTAAAGATTTATTCTTCCAACTAATTTGTAAATATTAAATAATTTAGTCGAACAACAACAACAGCTCAACAACTTTGGAGGTAAATTATTATGTGTTTGTTTGGTTTCAAACACGCAACATTTTTGGAAATTTTATGAAGAACCAGATTGACGACAAGATGTTAAGACCAGTATTTTTTTATTTTTAATAAATTCTACAAACTGCTTACCTCATTCGAGTAGAGATTAAGAAAAATAAAAAGAGTCAGTATTTTTCAGTGTATAGAAATTGTTTGTTGTTGTTTTTGGTGCGAATTGTAAAACGCTAACTACATCAGTTTAATTCGTGTGTCGATAAAGTGTTTTTTTTTTTGGATATTTGTTGGGTTAACAAAAAAGAGTCACCTAAATCTGGAATCGCCAGCACTGGCTGATTGTTGCCGTCTGTTTTTTTTTTTGTGTAATGTTACTTTTTCATTCAAAAATGTAAATTGTTGTGTTGATGAATCAGCTTAGATTAGATTTGCTTGTAGGATTGTAGGCTTAGTTTTAGGCTTCAAATTGCTAATTTTAATCACGTACCTTACCCAAATACAAAATAAGGTAGTGTTTTGGGGTACTCATCAACTAACTATTATTAGGCATTATAATGTTGTTGTCGTTGTTGTTTTTACATTAAAAGTAATTATGTGATTTTATTGTACATATGTTTCTCCACATTTTTTTGGTTTCTGTTTATTTTTAAGAGGAATAAAAAAACTGAAATTATCCAGTTTCGCATTTTTTATTTTGTTTTTTGCTGTCCGAATTATTTTTGATTCGGTCGTGAATCTTTGTTGTTAATGTTATTTATTTTTGTTGTTATTATTGTTTTACATCATTAATTCTTGTGGTCTTGTTCTATTTAAGCTTTTTTGTGAGTCTGTCTGTAGGTCTGTCCGTTTATTACATTTCCCGGTCATTGTATTTTCTGTTGTGTATTTTTGTCTTTCTTTCATTCTTTTTATGAAAAGTTGCCAAAAAAAGAATAATGAAAATATTTTACTTTGTAATTGTTCATCATGTACAAGATATACATACACACCACTCACACATACACACATATTTGTGTTCACTTATTATTATGTACAGTATATGGATGTAAACTAACGTGTCATGTATATATGTATGTAGATATATACATAAAATAATTGTAAGAACAGCCAAGTATATGGGACATTCCACATGGAATTTGACACACAGAATATGAATATTTTGAAGGTTTGATATTTTTTACACCTTACTACATATTGGACGAAGGATTGTGTTTGTATTGCGTTAGCAAAATATATACATACCTCAATTTTTGGTAAAATACTTTGTCATCCTGTGTAGTATTGTTTAGCTAGTACCAAGGCGTTACGAAATAAGTCTTCAATGAAATAAGGTCCCAAAAACAAAATGTCCTCAAATTTGGGGACTTATTTCATTACGAAAATGATAAATGAAATAAGTCCCCAATAATTAAGACATGAATTTAAATATATCCGCCTTCTGTATCCAAAGAAATATTAAAAAAACTTTTCATTTGACTCCAAAATATCCACCAAGATTTATAACTAAATAATTAACTTTCAAAAATTCCATACTGTTATAAATGAATGTATTAAAAATTAGGTATTTAAGCCAGATAACGCCATAGATTTTTTCTTCGATATCATAAATTTAATTTTAAAATTTAAATATCTTATTAATAAGTAACAATTTTTAATTGAAATTTTAGAAATTCAATTTCAATAAGATAACGAAATTGGGGTTGTTTCAAAAAATAAGCATTTTTAACGCAAAAAGTTTTACCAGAAAGTTTTGTGAAGACGCAAAATTCTCGAAAATTTTTTGTTGAAGAAAAATCAAACTCC